TTTTTTTTTTTTTTTTTTTGTAAAGGTAGCCCGTCCGGAGGGGCTCTGAATAATGGATGCCGGAGATCTTTCGCACCCTTTTAGCGAAGCTCTTTCCCGTGAAGCTGGTTCAAATTGGTTTTAGATAAGCTTTTTTTCAAAGCTGCGCAATACGGTCACGATTGACTTCATTTTCTTTTTTTTTTTATCCAACTCCCCAATCCTCTTTTCTCTTTCCAAATGATCACTCGTAATAAATTTTGGCGCCAAGATATGAAAATGACGAAGAGCGTCGGTCTTTTGCACGTACAGGTGAAAGGATTCCAGCTGGAGTACCTGGCAAAAGTGCCCGAAGTCAAGGATACCGTGCACAAACACTCGCTCCTGCACCATCTCTGTCACATGGTCATGGAAAAGTTTCCCGACTCCACGGACTTGTACTCCGAGGTATTTTCGACATTTGTTCATTTTTTTCTTATTTTTTCCAAGTGCACTTTGGAGTAATTAAAACTGCATTAATAAACCCAAGGAGCTGTCCGTAATTCATGAAAAAGTTTCTTTGAATTTTTCACGAGTAATCTCATACTATGGGGAAAGCCTTTCTAAAGGTATACTTCTTTGAAAAATCCAAGAAAATCACTTTAAGTGGGAATATCTTGAGAGATAGAGCTAACCGAGCAATCGATACCTTCTCTAAAATTAATCCTGCCGAGAGATCTTTCAAAAAGTAGCGAAAACACTTGGAAAAAAGTTTCGAGAGAGCTTCGGAAGAAAATTCCAACTGTTCGCTTATACTTAAAAACAAAAAAAACCAACAGATTGGAGCAGTAACTAGAGCGTCGAGAATCGACTTCGACGAGCTAGCCTCGAATATCAGCAAACTCGAGAGCGAATGCAAGGCGTCCTGGGACCACTTGAAGCTGATTGCGAAGCACGACGGCTCGACGATGATGAAGGTCAAGTGAGTATCAAGCCACCCCCGCTCTCCACCCTTCGGCCACGCTTCTTTTCTCCCACATATATATTAAGTAGTCCCTTCGGCACGTACACTCCATCGATTTGAACGTACCCTCGTTTCTTACCCTTTTTTTATGTATTTTTTTTATTTTTTGGTACTTTTTTTCGAGAGAGTCCAAAAGTTGGCTCTCGCCCAGGTGCACGGCCCAATAAATTCCGTAATCTCGTTTTTTTCCCTCCCCCCTCGGTCGATAACCAAGAAATTCATTTCGCCCCTTTATTCATCCCCTCGGTCCGTATGCGATAGCGCGCGAAGGTGTGCGCGCAAGACAGTCTGATATATCGAGGGTTATTTCCCAGGATGTCGGACTTTCTGTCCGACTGCGCCGAGCGGATAATCGTGCTGAGTATCGTGCACCGGCGCATCGTCAATCGCTTCCACAAGTTCATCCTGTGGCTGGGCGTGCCGCTCAACAGGGTCCAGGACACGAAGCCGAACGAGTTCTGCCGCATCGTGTCGGAGTTTGCTCTCGAGTACAGGACGACGCGCGAGCGGGTGCTCCAGCAGCTCGAGAAGAAAGCCAATCACCGCGAGAGGAACAAGACGCGGGGCAAGATGATCACGGAGGTGAGAGACCACGTCCTTTTTTTTCTCCATCTCGTTTGTATTCTTAGCTTAAAACGCAGCCTGGCAAATTGGATTTCCGGGATTGATCGAACGGGAGGACCGAAGTAAAAGTACGTTCGGATCGTTCGATGGAACAGTGGGACGCGAAAAAAGTCCTCCGTTCGATTTTCAAAGACAAGCCGGGGCATCGGGAGCACAAAGGGGGAAAGGCGGGAGAAACAAAAAAAGAAAGAAAGAAAGGACACGCATTCCAATTTGCTACGGTCTGTTTTTCCTTGACAGCTCCCCCTCCCTCCCATCCTCCAGCTCTTTTCCCTTTTCTCGGCTTCTTTTCGATTTCTCTCTGCTCGAGCTTCACCTGGAAAGCAGGAGTATGTATATGTATAAAAAAAAAGAAATACACGTATAGAGTGGAACTTACTTTTCTACCTCTTGTGTTTCAGGTCGGCAAATTTAGGACGAAGGAGGATCGGGCGGACGCGGAACTCAGGCAATTACTGGGAAGCGATATCTCCGACGTCGAGAGCATCCACGGCACGCTGCCGTGGAGGAGGCAGCGCAAAGACGGTGAGCTACATACGCTCCTTTTTCCTCATTGAAACTCGACTGCGTAACGAGAAACTCAAAATCTTGACAAAGAGGAGACGTAATATATTGTTCTTAGCAAGCTCGTCCATATCTCACGGTGGTGTTTTTCGCAAACACCGTCTCGCAGGCGCTGCGTATTAATTTTTATCGCGATGCCTCTTTATTTGCCGAGCAGGTGTATATATTTACATCGCAAACTTTTTTATCATACCGCGTGTAGTATAATCTAGCCACGCGGTTGATTTACTCGCGTCGCTCCGCAAACTTGGGCATCTGACGGCGTACACGAGCGAAAAAATCAAGCACATGCAAACATGGTGTGGGGGTGAGCCAGGGTGTCGGTGGCACGTATGCGCATACTTTTCGCACGAGATAAGTCGCTACCTGAACTTTGGGAAATATACGCGTCCACGAGAGAGTACACCTTGAACGACTGTTTATTCCAGTGGGTAAGCCAGCCCGTGGTGCCACAATTTTTTTTTTTTTTTTTTTTTTTTTGGATAAGAAGCACCGTCGTCTCGCTAAATTTTCCCGGCTCCCTCGGGACGCGGGTTTTGTTGCGCTTGATCTTTTTCTTTCCCTCCCTCTGTTTACCCGGCATATACACGCGGGAGTTCAGGGCTGATAACGAGGCGTTATTCCAGCATTAAAGTCACGTTTCCGGCTACTGCCGCGCGATAACCTGGCGCTTTGTAAAAATTAGGTGCTCGCGTATGATTTATCATTTGAAAAGTGTGCACTCGTATAGCTTTCGAAACAACGACAAACAACGAAAAATGGTTGATTCAGAGGGGTAGTGTGCCATAGTTATTGGAGCTTCCAGACTTTTCGTGCGTCACGGGGTAGGAGCCTTAGATCCACGGGTTACCGTTTCTCGGGATATCGCGTGAACAACCCTCGTAAACTCGGCGAGTCCGACTTATGAGCTTACCCCTCCCTTCTCCCCTTTCTCGTTACTCTGGTAAGCACTGGCATCGCCAACTTGGCGTTATGTGCTATAGCTACAAGGCAACAGGGGGGATATATCTCTCAGAGCAGAGGGAAGCGTCGGTAATTGGCGAGATTCATTCGCTTCGTGCTTCCGTGAAAGAATGTTTTCTTTCCCCCCCCCCAGCATTTGGGTTTCAAGAGCTTTCTCGAGCCCATTACCTCACCTACACGGGGTCAAAGAGTTGGCGAATCACCGAAGGCTTGAAAAAACAGTTGGGTGGCAAAAAGTTACTCGAAATTTTTACAAATAAGGGGTGGATCTCCCTATGCGATCCGACGTGGGGTAGAGAGATAAACTTCCAAGGCAGTTCTCGGAAAACAGAGAAGAAAACAAGGGTGCGTAGAGAGTAAAGCAGTGCTCGGGCCTATACAGACGGACGAACGGAGAAAGAAGCTGTTTTTACGGTGGTTACCCCTTTCATTCCACACGGTACATTTTACCACTACCCTACTTTACTTTGCACGCGTGACTTTTTGAACATGTACTTGCCTCCACTTGGATTTATACGCAGTGTTTGCCACTCAAAATTAAAAGGCAAAATTTCAACTCGAGGACTGTAACGAGAAGTTTTGGAAAAAAACGTCCCTCATCTTTATAAAGTCACTTCAACAGCAACGACCAGAGCTCACCGGAATTTCTCGCGACTCTGCATTCCTCGATCCCCCCCGTATAACCGTTTGAGCGCAAAGAAGGCAGCTACCCCGCACTTACACGATGGCCAAGGCCGCGGGTACGTAAATATGCGCGCGCTTGGGTGCCCGTATGCGCAACTTAATGCCCCGTACGCGGAATACGGCGGATGTAAACTAAACGGTATGGATACAACACAACACACGCCCGTACGGGCTTTGTACTTCTGAGCCCCGTATACGCTCCCCTTACGCGCACTGTATGAATGTACTGGCGCCCATAACCGCAAGACTCCGCGTCGCATATCCGCGGAACGGCGACCCTAATTTCTCTGTGGGGTGGTCTTCTCTTTTTTTTTCCAGCATCCCCGCGTCGTGGCTCTTCAAGAATTCCACTTTGAACGCACCCTCATATCTGTGTGTGTGGAGAAGCTTCCGTAACATTCGAGGAGGACTTTCTTCCACTTGGGGTGGCTTTCCTTGACTCCTTTTTTTATACACCGTATTTCTTGTGTTATCACAGTATACCTCGAGAAGCTGTTACTATTGCCATTTTACAAATGTTTTTGGAACGAGAATCGTTTTGTTTTTATAAGACAACATACATAGATTGTCTCTCGAGATTATTTCTTTGTTTGGCTGAAACCAGATCTTGTACTCGAGGTGAAGCTAAAAAAGCTCTCCCTAGTTGACTCGCCGAAATAAGACACAACTCGATATTGGTCTGACTTTTTGTTCTTTTGTTTTGTACAACAATCTATACGAGCTTCTTCTGGTTGGACGTCACTTGTGCGTGACATTTTTCTTGCTCAACTATGAAGAATTTCGCTATATTTATTTTACAGTGGGTAGGGCCCACGTTGGACGAAAACTTGAAAAAACAAGCAAACAAATACTTTTCTGATATTTATATTGCAAATATCCCACAACGAGTAATTCGTTTTTGCGCCAAGGGCCTCCTGTTGTGCGTGTAGCGGGAGATCCTGTTATTTTTCTCCTTCCAAACCCGCGACATTTCCTCCACTGGGACTCCCAGCTCGTAGAATTGGATTTTGAACGCAGCGTGGATATTCCGCGCACAAATTGCATGAGAAATGAGAGAGACAAAACAGGTGTGACTGACACTGGAGCTGGGCTGAGAATGAGCGAGAAAAAGAAGGTACAAGAAGAGGAGCGGAGGGACGAGCAAAGAAAATTAGAACTGTCCAGGAAGGTAGGAACAAACGCGAAGGGGAGAGTGGAGGTAAAATAAAAGCAGCAGCTATTGTACTTTGTTTCGCTGTTACGAGCCAAATAATTGGTGTAAGAGAAATATCTGAGCTGAAGTTGGTACTGCTGTGAGGTGCCATTGTAATTGCAACATTTTGTCCAAAAGGAACAGGAATGAAAATACGCTTCGTTTATGGAAACAAGTTACCCCGAGCCTTTGATGTATTTTCTACGCGCGAAGGATTTTCGAAACAAAAACAATAAACAGAGAGTATTTTTATTAATTCCTTCCAAAGTAATGGCAGCTTTAAATTTCCATGGGAGAAACGCGACCCTCCACTTTTGGCGACCCTCGTGGGGGCCAACTTTATTCGCGGCCTACTATACCAAGCGTAGAACTGCAAAGCCAAAGGACGCGCAAAAGAAAGGAGGAGGAGAAAAAGAAAGTTGAAGTAGCAGGAAAAAGTCCGTTTGAAAATCCCGCTGGGGTTGAATTCTGACGCTCTGCCTCTGAAGAGAAGCCCCTTCTTTGCCCACTTTTGACGCGCGCGCGCGGTGTAACTTTCTGACCTGCTTTTTCCACGAGTGCCTGCGAACTAGTGCTAATGGAAAAGTAGAGCAGCTGCCAAACGCCTCGAGTATGCGTATCGACGACGACTGCTTTAATCATTGCTACGTAGTTACGTTTTTGTACCACCACGCAAATCGTACACGTGTACTTTTAGCTTTAATGAGGAACTATAGTTGTTGCGAATGCCCCTGCCGTACCTCTTTGGGCGAGCACGGCACAGGTACTGAAAACGTTGAGTACGAAGTAACGCCTTTGTCCAAGAGAACAAACTGCCACTGCCGCCCGTGGATTAAACAATAAAGTGCAGAGGCAATTTGTCGAAAATTCAGATGGGATTTAGCGAAACAAACTTTGTACTGTAGGTGAATTAACTTCACCACGTTCGACGCTGAGTTAACAATTTCCGTGGAACATGAGACAGTTGGCTCAACGAGGCCGTTCGTGTGAAATAATCAAACAAGTTTTAAAGAAAAATGCTTGTAAATTGTCAATGGTAGCAGTGATGTGGAGGTTTTGGTTGTTTTGAATGTCAAACAGGGCGAACGTCTTTGGGTCCGCTGTTGAGGGATGAGAGGACGAACGGGAATCTGACTGACGCCGACGACGAGCTGCTCGAGACGCTCGTCAAGACGGCCACGAAGACCCCGGCCACGCGCACCACGCCGAGGGAGAGGAAGCGCACGCGACACGCCGATCGTAAGTCTTGTAAGTGGAATCCCTGCACCCTGCACCCGGTCGCCGGCCTCCGCGGAGCCTTTGTCCGTCGTTTGGCCCTCTCTCGCTAAGGCTCTTCTTCCCCCTTGTCTTGGACAGGGAAAAATATTTTCAAATCCCACCCTGTATAGGTTTATCAAGTTGATACGGTTGGATTTGAAAATGTTTGGGGAAGGAAAGACTGATAATGACGAGGGTCGGACAATAAGGCGACGCGCGGATTTTTGGGCGAGTCGAGATGTCGACCTTTCAGCTCGACACGATCGCCGCGACTATACTCATTGCACTTTATCTGCACACTCTACTCTCCATTACTGTCCTATGTTGTTTATTTTATTTTACTTATCTGTTTTTCATTACTGTTTATAAAAAAAAATTTTTTTTAAATCTATTTGTCAAATAAAAATCTCGATCTGGTCACGCGTAAATCGAGAATTCACATCGTCAACTACGCGTTCAATCAGTAAGTTTTTTTATTATTTTTATTTTTTTTTTTTTTTTTTTTTTGTAAAGGTAGCCCGTCCGGAGGGGCTCTGAATAATGGATGCCGGAGATCTTTCGCACCCTTTTAGCGAAGCTCTTTCCCGTGAAGCTGGTTCAAATTGGTTTTAGATAAGCTTTTTTTCAAAGCTGCGCAATACGGTCACGATTGACTTCATTTTCTTTTTTTTTTTATCCAACTCCCCAATCCTCTTTTCTCTTTCCAAATGATCACTCGTAATAAATTTTGGCGCCAAGATATGAAAATGACGAAGAGCGTCGGTCTTTTGCACGTACAGGTGAAAGGATTCCAGCTGGAGTACCTGGCAAAAGTGCCCGAAGTCAAGGATACCGTGCACAAACACTCGCTCCTGCACCATCTCTGTCACATGGTCATGGAAAAGTTTCCCGACTCCACGGACTTGTACTCCGAGGTATTTTCGACATTTGTTCATTTTTTTCTTATTTTTTCCAAGTGCACTTTGGAGTAATTAAAACTGCATTAATAAACCCAAGGAGCTGTCCGTAATTCATGAAAAAGTTTCTTTGAATTTTTCACGAGTAATCTCATACTATGGGGAAAGCCTTTCTAAAGGTATACTTCTTTGAAAAATCCAAGAAAATCACTTTAAGTGGGAATATCTTGAGAGATAGAGCTAACCGAGCAATCGATACCTTCTCTAAAATTAATCCTGCCGAGAGATCTTTCAAAAAGTAGCGAAAACACTTGGAAAAAAGTTTCGAGAGAGCTTCGGAAGAAAATTCCAACTGTTCGCTTATACTTAAAAACAAAAAAAACCAACAGATTGGAGCAGTAACTAGAGCGTCGAGAATCGACTTCGACGAGCTAGCCTCGAATATCAGCAAACTCGAGAGCGAATGCAAGGCGTCCTGGGACCACTTGAAGCTGATTGCGAAGCACGACGGCTCGACGATGATGAAGGTCAAGTGAGTATCAAGCCACCCCCGCTCTCCACCCTTCGGCCACGCTTCTTTTCTCCCACATATATATTAAGTAGTCCCTTCGGCACGTACACTCCATCGATTTGAACGTACCCTCGTTTCTTACCCTTTTTTTATGTATTTTTTTTATTTTTTGGTACTTTTTTTCGAGAGAGTCCAAAAGTTGGCTCTCGCCCAGGTGCACGGCCCAATAAATTCCGTAATCTCGTTTTTTTCCCTCCCCCCTCGGTCGATAACCAAGAAATTCATTTCGCCCCTTTATTCATCCCCTCGGTCCGTATGCGATAGCGCGCGAAGGTGTGCGCGCAAGACAGTCTGATATATCGAGGGTTATTTCCCAGGATGTCGGACTTTCTGTCCGACTGCGCCGAGCGGATAATCGTGCTGAGTATCGTGCACCGGCGCATCGTCAATCGCTTCCACAAGTTCATCCTGTGGCTGGGCGTGCCGCTCAACAGGGTCCAGGACACGAAGCCGAACGAGTTCTGCCGCATCGTGTCGGAGTTTGCTCTCGAGTACAGGACGACGCGCGAGCGGGTGCTCCAGCAGCTCGAGAAGAAAGCCAATCACCGCGAGAGGAACAAGACGCGGGGCAAGATGATCACGGAGGTGAGAGACCACGTCCTTTTTTTTCTCCATCTCGTTTGTATTCTTAGCTTAAAACGCAGCCTGGCAAATTGGATTTCCGGGATTGATCGAACGGGAGGACCGAAGTAAAAGTACGTTCGGATCGTTCGATGGAACAGTGGGACGCGAAAAAAGTCCTCCGTTCGATTTTCAAAGACAAGCCGGGGCATCGGGAGCACAAAGGGGGAAAGGCGGGAGAAACAAAAAAAGAAAGAAAGAAAGGACACGCATTCCAATTTGCTACGGTCTGTTTTTCCTTGACAGCTCCCCCTCCCTCCCATCCTCCAGCTCTTTTCCCTTTTCTCGGCTTCTTTTCGATTTCTCTCTGCTCGAGCTTCACCTGGAAAGCAGGAGTATGTATATGTATAAAAAAAAAGAAATACACGTATAGAGTGGAACTTACTTTTCTACCTCTTGTGTTTCAGGTCGGCAAATTTAGGACGAAGGAGGATCGGGCGGACGCGGAACTCAGGCAATTACTGGGAAGCGATATCTCCGACGTCGAGAGCATCCACGGCACGCTGCCGTGGAGGAGGCAGCGCAAAGACGGTGAGCTACATACGCTCCTTTTTCCTCATTGAAACTCGACTGCGTAACGAGAAACTCAAAATCTTGACAAAGAGGAGACGTAATATATTGTTCTTAGCAAGCTCGTCCATATCTCACGGTGGTGTTTTTCGCAAACACCGTCTCGCAGGCGCTGCGTATTAATTTTTATCGCGATGCCTCTTTATTTGCCGAGCAGGTGTATATATTTACATCGCAAACTTTTTTATCATACCGCGTGTAGTATAATCTAGCCACGCGGTTGATTTACTCGCGTCGCTCCGCAAACTTGGGCATCTGACGGCGTACACGAGCGAAAAAATCAAGCACATGCAAACATGGTGTGGGGGTGAGCCAGGGTGTCGGTGGCACGTATGCGCATACTTTTCGCACGAGATAAGTCGCTACCTGAACTTTGGGAAATATACGCGTCCACGAGAGAGTACACCTTGAACGACTGTTTATTCCAGTGGGTAAGCCAGCCCGTGGTGCCACAATTTTTTTTTTTTTTTTTTTTTTATGAGCGCGCAATAACAGTGCGGTGTGTGATATACACGACCGCACCGAATACGGAAAAAGAATGAAAAATGGAGAAAAAAACAAATTTCGCCTCCGTTAGAGATACAGGGGACGAGAGTCCTTGGCGAGAGAAGGGGGGTTAGAGAGACAAAGAAGCTACTCCGAGCTTTTTCCGTTCTTTTTGCTGCAGCTGTGTTTTGTTGATTGTTTTTTTCCCACGTACAAATCTTTTTTTTCCTTTAGCGAGTGGACGAGCCAAACGAGTTTTTGGACGGATTTGAGCGTGCGGCTTTTCGTACGAGATTCCGCTTTGGCTGCTTTCAAGGGGTTCGCTATTCGTAGGATCCTCACACGCGTACAGCCAAAAAATATAAATCATGCACAAAAAATTTAATTTTTTTTTTAATGTACAACGTAGCAACGTATGTACTGTGGTTACTCCAACTTTGACCAGCTCTCTGGGGATTGTGAAAAGGTTTCACTTTGTTATCTTGAAAATCTAAAAGTGCCCCGGATGAGTCTCTCTCCCTCTGCATAAGTATATAATTATACCGGGGGCCAGTTGAGGGAAGTTCCTCGGTAAGTATAAAAAAGTGGGACACGCGCGTTAAAAAAAAAAAAAGAAAAGATCACCATGAAACGAGTCGT